ATTATACTTGTTAGTTACCTATGTTCATTACCAAAATTTCAGGAACAATGATAACATATATCTGTTACATTTGCTGATATAGGGCGCTCAAGTTTTGACTAAAAATTCATCACTTATTGATTCCATTGAGATAATAAGCACTAACAAAATTATCGCAATAATCTCCCGCTGCCATAATCAACGTGAACAAAGGAGCCTTCTGATTGGTTGATGATAAATTTATGGAATTTCCATACTCATAGGTATGATATTGTATACTAGTATTAATCATTTCCTGAAATGTTTGTTACAGGTCATATAAAATGAGATTTGTTTCGATCAATTCAATTTTCTATTGATCGCCTAATGAATATGAACTTTTTCGATCATCCACATTGCTGAAGAGCCCACCTTCAAACATGACAGTCTTATCGAGCTTGAGAGGTCCATCTGCATTATAACGTCATTTAGGACGATTGTAGTAGACATACAGAGTTTGAAATTATCTGTATATTCCAATGGTAGTTTGATCTAGGCATTCAGAAGTTCAGTCGGTGTCACTTTGTCAGTGATATACAGTAGTGGGAAATCCTGGAGCCCTACTTCGGTGGAATCGTGAAATTTTCGGATTCAGGTTTTGGTGTTCATTCACCATTTCGGTCGATGAACATTTTGTGTGTTGTAACAATCAATTCAATTGAAACCACTGTAACACCCATTGTTTTATGATACGTCGCACAATCGACATGTTGATTTCCATTGAATCGTTCTTCATATGCACATCAACAAGTAGTGGAGAATTTGAATATAGTTCACACTTGTGGGAATCGATGATAAAACCATGACCTCTTCGAAATCGTAGCTTGTAGATCGTGCTATCAGCAGGTATTATGGTTTAAAGAGTTGTCACATCATTAGTTGTATTCGAATTTATTATTGCCCATTCGGGAGATTCAATCTCATTTTGTGTCTCATCACTGTCAAAGCATATACAGGCTGACTCACACAAAATGCACAAAGCCATAGCGCCGCTATTAACTATCCGATTTTGGAAAACAGGAAAGCAAATGGAATGATTCATCAGATATTACAAGGTGACGTCAACAATTCCTTTTTCCAATTCCACCTCTTACGACAGCGATTATCAATTGTTTCTTTCGAGTAGCATTGTGAATTTTCGATTATTTCCTCTGATGGAGATTTCTCTTCTGAATGAAATGATATATAGAAAGTTGAATAACGCGCAAAGACAGTTTGATGTTGAAAAATTCATTCAGTGAAAACAAACAGGAACAAAAAGAAACTACAAACCTGAAAGATCTATTTCTAGACGACGGAGCATAAATGTTTCTCAACTATGTTTCGCGGAATTTAACCCTTTTTACATCATTGCATTGGGAAAAGAGTTTCTATCGGCAGAAAAATTGAGAATATATAATGCCATTTGAAGAAGAAAGTTTGTAATTTTGCACTCATCATGCGATGGGTTTTTTTGAAGATGACGATAGCGAAAATCCTATCCTATATAACCATCAAGTGAAGTAGTTTACATTGAGTATAGAAGAACTCTGGAATGATTATGAGAAGTAAAAAAGGATATATCTACCAACTCAAAACAACTATAGATGGATAGATAGATGAATAGATTGATACACTGAAAGATAGATAGATAGATGGATAGATAGAAAGATAGTAATTTATTTATTCCAATAGTAACCGTTACGGGCGTAGAACGTGTCAAGTTCAAGAAATATATTAGAATAAAATTATCCACAAGAGTTCACAAGTATGTTCAACATGTTCTCCTGCAAGTTTCTACATTTTTACATTTCTATGTTCCACTTCGATGAAGGACACAATGAAAGACACAATAAAATACATAATAAAATACACAATAAAATACACAATTAAATACACAGATGCAGATGCAGACGACAATTACATCTCCATGTGGTATTTTAAAATCTTGTGAACTGGATAATTTGATATTTTCGCAAGTCAAATCATCTGAATTTTCTCAAAAATCGATCAATCTCATGACTGATTAAATGTATCCACTATGCATGCAACATGTAGGTAATACAACATAATGGCCTTGGGTTCAGCCGTTACCACCGATAAAACAAGGCCTGCATGCTTCGTGGGTGACGTCACTTAGTCAGGCCTAACCAGCGGCTCGAAACGACAAGCGCTTATAGCGCTATAAGGCGACCGCGTATTTCGATTTTAGTTTTAGATCATTATTGAGCCGATTTTGCTTTTTTTTGAAGGTCTTCCGGATGAAAGAGGATGCCAGCCGTCAACTGAGCCCTTCTTCGCATCCCATTCGATTTTATTATGGAAAAACGAAGTTTCAAAGCAAAAACCAGAATAAAACACAAATACCCTCCTACAGCAACCCATTCGAATCAAATATATTGGCAAAAATTGTAGTGATTCAATCTCATTAGAGGTAAACTTCATACCTACTTATACAGGGCCCGAAGAACATAAACTTATCATGAGATTGATCGGAAGAAAATTGGGGAAAATGTATTTTAGTTTGATAGACATGCCGTTTGTTATATCTAATTACCTATATTTATCTTGGAGAATTCCTATTACCTAAAAATTAGCCATTGAGTGTTTCCAATTTCCTGTTGTTGGATTTTTTACCCAATTGGTCGTTAGACTTCAAACAGTGATTTTCAAGTAGAGTGTTTGTAGTACATGTTAATATAATAGTTGCAATTTGATCATTGAAATGAATTCTGCATTCATTGCCACGAGGCAAATGACCGATTTCAGAAAGAAATTTGAGAATGTATTGAGTCAGAAACCAAAGAGTCCAATGCATTCGAAATATGTTTCAAAACCCCTCTTTTTCTGATTATCAAGACATTTTACCGAATTATGTATCTCGTTTTTATCTATTTCAATTAGTAATTCCTTGATTTGATTGATATTATTAGAGATAAAAGGTGTTTTCAGATTGGCTTTTGGAGATGTTTGTATCGTTAGGTCATACAAAAATGATTCTACATTCAAAACAAAATCAATCACAACCGAATATGTAATTACGGGCCCTGGAGAATAAGACAATTTGAATAATGTGACTTTTTGCTAATCGATAATTTTGAACCACTTTTCGGGCAACTGTAAAGACTCTAATACAACTAGAAATTCTTGAAATTCTGTGTAGCAAAATGATTTTTGGTAAATTTCGAATTCAGTTTTACTTTTGGTAAGTGCTTGTGCCAAATTTTTAGTCTCTAGTATCTCAAGTTTTTCATCACGACTTGTGCGTAATTTTACATCTTTCGATAAATAAGATGGACAGTTGGGAAATTGAGTAGGAATGACATCTCGTTTGAGCCTAGGAATTTTCAAATCTATTGTTACAGTTTTGCCAGTTTTTGAATCGGTTGCAGTAGATGAAGTAATAATATCATCTTTAGTAAAATGTGATTCACATACTTTACTGTACTCAGATGGAGTCGTAAAATCCTTGCGGTGAATTGCATGCACCCACTTTTTCGATAGTTCCTTGTCCAACGGGAAACTAAAAGCATGAACTTTTGGACCACCCACATAATTCCCCTGACAAAAGGGAACACAACACTTGTAAGGCATTGTTATTTCGCCTATCACAACACGAAATATTTCACAAAACAGTGATTTCTCCGCCAATTATTTTGATGAATAAACAACAAGAGAATTCAAGCACACGCGATTTACCTACGCCACCGTTCTTAAACAAAAACAAACTGACGATCGATCGACGCGAATGCCTTGGAAGATGGCCTGAGTATGCGACGTCACGAGCTGTTTACGTCAGAGTCTGCTGGCCTTGTTTTATCGGTGGTAACGGTTCAGCTCCAGGAGTAAGTAGAGTTTTCATTTCTCAGAAGCGAATTATCAGAAAAATATCTGACCTCAACTACAACCAAAGCTGCCGTGATACCTTCATAGAAAAACATATTCTTACTTTTACATCCATCTATATCTTAAAATGTGTTACTTTCACCAAAAAACATCTTTCAAATTTTACAATCCAGAGGAGCCACCATGGATATGGCACTAGAACAAATAACTTAGACTTACCAAAATACAAAACATCCACTTTCAAGAAATCTCCTGGACCATGAGAGATTTTTCGGTTAGGAATAAAAAAAATGAATAACAGTTTACATAGTTCACGTAGATGTCTCTGAACTACATATTTTCTTCATTTTTTTTTTCAATGAACAGACAATATAATAGCTCCTGCCTACTACCTACCTAACTAGGTTGTCATATAGAACGACAATGACTCAGGAGATTCCAGAGAAATGCATATAAATGACACTTTTAAATTTTCACAGGGTGTCTTCTGAATACATTATCGAATTTCAGCAATTAGTTTCACTCATCAGAGTTACGATGAAATTTTACAAACGAATGGTTTCGTTCCTATTCTGATGATTGAAGCTGATTACTGAAGATTTTTGAAAGTACCAAGGAAATGCCGAGTGAAACAATAACGTCAGAATATATCGAACAGTTTTATTATAAAAGAAGTAACAGTTTTCAAACAATAACGTCAACAAAAGGAACGTTGAAAGTCCTTCATCCAGTTGAAATAATAGTTATGTTAATGCAATGATAATTGGAATATAAAGGTCACTTCAATACGACGATTTTTGTGTACCATGAAGAAGCTCTCGTTATGTTGAAGAACATTCAATGTTTGCGCATTTACGAACTTTATCACATATATATTCCTATCATTTCAAAATTCAATTGATTTTCAATTGATTTATCGCGCCCAAATCACACACAAGTGCTCTCCTTGCTCTTGGGGACGTACTCAGGTGAAGACATCAGGAGGAAGGTGTAAAGACAGAGAGATGATTAGGAATGGCTCACTGAATGACTCAATGACTGGGCTTGTCGAGTTTGTCTGAATGGTATTGCTAGTGATGAAATAATAGGATCACAGAACCCTGATTGTGCTGTTGTGCTAGAGCCAAATTCAACAGATTTTTCGTTTCATCTTGCAGATATCTCTAATGATTCCGTCGAACATACTCCAAAGCACAGAAACCGATTAATCGGAATCCCAAAATGTCCGCAATCCAGGTATTGCAGTCAACAGATTTCCACCGGAGAGCATCCTCTAGACCGACTGGATAGAAACCCTGAGGAGATGAATAGTGATCAAGGTGTTTTTCACGAAGATACTCATGATAGGCTTGAAAACATGGAAACTCCTGGAATAGACGCTATTGATGAAGACAGTGAAGTAAGTACCCAATTATAATTGAGCTAATGTACTTCCGTGGTTTGCGAAAAATTTGCCATAATTTCAACACTTCTTCGAGTTTTTTTTTGTGGCTTCATCGAGAATGATAATTATTAATTCATTGCGCTTTGAAACAGCTGCCTTTTGGGAATTGACGATCCTGGCACTTGTTTTGGATTGAAAAACTCGAATTATGTCGACAATTCCTCAAATGAAAATGGTGGAAACTCATTTCGAGAGAAAAACAATTCTCTCAATCATTATTATGAAAGCAGGCTTGCTCTCAAGCAAAAATCAGTTTAATCGGTGATTAAATAGAATGACACGAACAGTCACCTCCATTTAGACCACGGAGAACGAGCCGTATTCGGAAAAATATCCGAAGATTGTTCCTTCCTCTTTTCATCTCTTGGAGCGCACGAATGAAATGCCTATTATGATCGAGAAACATCGTTCGAACCTAGGGAAAGGATGTGCTGACTTGGCTTGTCGAGTATATATGTCTGAATGGTATTGCTAGTAATGATATGATAGAAAAGTAGAACATTTTCTTATGAAAACATCAATAGGAAAGTGGAATGTCCCTGACTTTCCCACAGTGTACTAATGATTTCAACGAATAGGTGAGTCTGACATTAACGAGTAGGTGAATGACTCGTCTATGGATAGACTCTGAGAGTAACAGCGTATATGTTCGGGTGCTGAAATCCATATGAGAAAACAGTAGGTAGGTATTCTAAAATAGGCCGTATCTATTCTTGATAGATCATGAAAAGCTGTTGAGGGTGGAGTAGCTTCTTGCCCAGAAAAAATATACGAGTTATTGTGATGGAAATACCAGACATAGATATGGTGAATTCAAGTAGGTTGTTGGGCAAAATTCCCATTGACAGCGTTGACCTATCATCGTCGTGAGTTCCAAATTCGCTGGGATGGAATGGGGATTATAGAAGGAAACGCAGTATGGGGAGAACGGTAAGTGATAACACCCAACAAATCATCGATATGCGGTAGAAACTATGTTGGTGACAAAATTGATCTTTGTGGAACGCCGGAATTGATGAAGTGACTATATGGAGGCATAGCTGCGGTAGTATTCTGTATGATGATAGGTTTTGGGAGAGTCCTTAGTATCAAACACGATCGAATTATTTCGATAAATTCAAAACGACAGCTAGATATTCTTCATGTTCTTCCATTGAAGCTTGCCATAATACATGGATAACGTGGGAAAGTTAATCTTCATTTGATTTTCGATGACGAACACATGAATCTGATCGCCATGGGTGAATACAGCATCAATTTCAAGCATGATGGTTCAACAATTTGATCGAATTTTGATAGAATATTGCTGTTGAGAACTGTCAGATGCACAACTCAATAGGACGATTTCATTCGATGTATTCATGGTGAGCAATAATGATTATGGAAAATAAAATAATCTCATAATGTCGGAAAATCTTTTCTACAGAAATCCATCCTCTAATCATTGAAGTAGAATTTCAATGCGATTATCTATATTATTATTATTATTATATCAAGGACTCCTCCACAAACTACCAACATACGGCTTACCACCTCAGCTATGCCATCTCTTATCGAGTTTTCTTTCAGGCAGATCGCTTCACGTGGTGGTGGACGGTGTATCGTCTGATACCATTGGCATCAATTCCGGCGTTCCACAAGGATCAATTTTGGCACCAACATTATTCCTGCTTCATATCAATGATCTGTTGGGAGTTACAACTTGCCCCATCCACAGCTTTGCAGATGAAAGTACCCTCCATACTGCTTTCTCTTCCAGAATTCCTATTTCTTCCCAGGAAACTAAGACCTCACGGCGCAGGCAGGTCAATGAAGATCTTGCTGAAATCACAGCCTGGGAAACAAACAACCTAGTTGAATTCAACGCCACCAAAACTCAAGCATGCATTTTCTCTAGAAAGGCGGAACTCAGTATGCCCGATATTGTGATGTCTGGCTCCACCATCCCCACCAAGCCCACCATATCTATGCTCGGTATTTCCATCAGCAACACTCTTTCATGGAATAATCATGTCAGATCCATCGCAAAAGCTGCATCCCAAAAATTCGGATTCTTGTTCCGTGCGAAAAGCTACTTTAGACCTCAACAGCTTCTCATGATCTACAAAGCGCAGATACTGCCTGTTCTAGAATACTGTTCCCACATATGGGGTTCAGCACCAAAAAATATACGCTGATGCTCTTAGATTCCATCTAGAGAAGAGCCATTCGCCTGGTGGGTGACGCCACACTCACTCACTCTTTGACATCATAAGAACACCGTAGAAAGGTCGGCGACCTTTCACTTTTCTATCGATACTTCCACGGGAAATGTTCTTCGGAAATCTGTGCTATCATCCCTTCACTAGCAATACCAATCAGACGAAGTAGACAAGCCTAGTCAGCACATCCTTTCGTTGTCAACCTCGGAAGATGTTGAACAGCACTTTATCAAGACTCCTTCATCCATAGAACGGTTAGGCTCTGGAATTCATTGCCTGTGGAAGTGTTCCCAACAACATATAATCTCCAAAAGTTCAAAAAAAATTCCAATACCTACCTCCTGTCCCTATCCTCCCTAGGAACGCACGATGTTCCTTGAACATTATAGGGATTCCCTCTCGTGCGCTCCAAGCGATAAAAAAAAATTCATCACAATCGGGAAAATTAGTTTCTTCTACAGTTGTATTTTTATTTTCAGCGAAAACTCAACAACTACTACCGCACCCTGTGTAGCAGCCAACGACCGAGTTTGGCTGCGTATTTGGCGGGGGTACCTTCACCGCACGCATGCGCGGAAAAGTTCTATCTGCTCGGCGATGGGAAAGTATGCTTGACGGCGACACTGGACAAGGCCGTCTATGCCCATGGAGAGGACATCAGGATGAGCGTGCACGTGCAGAATAACAGCAACAAGACTGTCAAGAGCATAAAGGTAACAACGAAGAACATGTTTTTCGAGAATTGATCTACTACCCAGGCAACACAGATTCCTCTGCGATCACTCAGAGACATCATTATAAGGATCATAAAGGCGAACTTATTTCATCTAGTGTCGCTATGTGCTATAACTGAGCGAATTTCTTTTTTTTCGAAATCTCCAATAGGAATTTCGCATACCTCACATCACATCTATCGATATTATTATCACTGAGATTCCACAACTCATTACGAGGGAAACATCAATGGCGGATTAAGACGTTCCGCAGACTGGGGCACAATAATTTCCAGCGCCCCTTTCTCCATAGGAAGAAAAAAATTCTTGGGAATTTTTGAAATTGAGTGTCAGAAAATTTCGTTCTATAATAATCAAATTTGTCATATATGTTTCTTCGATGATTATTATTCTTCTTAGTCAATATAACTCCCGAGTACAAAGAAAACTGAGGATACAACAACGGAAATGGAATACTGATATATAAAGATTTTGTCGCCCTCATAATAATCCCAAGATTTCTGCACCGTCAATTCGACGTGTGTGTCAAAGGTAAATTCAGTATCTAGCTGAACACCTAAGTCTTTGATGATATCACAATCTCCCAGAACCTCACCGCACAGTACGAGAGAGGTGGGAGGATGATTATTACGGGTGAACAGGATCTTGTGACATTTACCAACGTTCAATTGAAGTTTATTAACTGCACAATATTCTGTGAACCTATCAAGATCTAATTGAAAACATTGGTAGTCCTCCTGAGTATTTATCGATTGATACAACTTCAGATCGTCAGCAGAAAGTTTGAATTTAGCTCATTTGAAACACTGATCAACATCGTTCAAAAAATTTGAGAACAGTAGGGGTCCCAGATGTGACTTCCATGGTCATCGATTTGTAACTATTGATAACTACGTACTGTTTCCGATCTGAAAAGTATGATTTCAGAAGTTGAAGTGAATTGCCGTGCACACCGAAGTTCTGGAGCTTTCTAACTAAAGTAGGATGATTTATAATTGTCTGATGAATGATGAATGATGAACTGCGTCAAAAGCCTTCGAGAAGTCCGTGTACACAAAACAGGTGGGTTCACCCTTGTCCATCTCGCCTAAGACATCCTGAATAAAAGGAAAGAGGTTAGTGATCGCCGATCGTTAAGTGTAGAAACCGTGTTGATTGATGTCAATTTACATTTTAGATTGAAAAAATAATTTTTCCATTAAACTTGCTAAGAAAGGAATTGGCTTATAATTGATTATCATTCTCATTACCGTATTCATGAATGGGTATAATCCGAGCAATTCTCCACTTTGTGGAGAATGAACCGTTTCTTAAGCTGATATTGAATATTTTTTGCAGAGGATTCACCACAGAGTTATAACAAGATTTAATGAAAGAGGGTGGGAATCCATCAGGCCCCGTACCTTTTTTCACATCTAAATTTTGTATAGTTGAAATATCTTCTTCACAGGTGATGGCGTAGAGGGACGAATCAGAAACAAAAATTCTGTGGAAATGTTGTGACAAAAGATTGCATATTGTAATGGGGTCAGATACATCGCCTTGAAGAAAAGTGTTAGGTAGATTTTTTGATTTTTTTTCATTGTTAATAAATCACGAGAATTGTTTTGGATTTGATTTGATTCTATTTCCGCTTTTTTGAACACAGGCTTTGTAATCCTTGTCTATATTCTTCTCGACTAACATGCGCATTCCACTGAATTCATCGAATTCAACTTGAATTTCGTATGTTTTCATTTACGGTGGAGAATTTCTTTAGACTCCATCAGATTTTTTGTGTGGTTAGAGAACCAGATAGAAAATTTCTGCTTGTTCACGGCTTTTTGTGGAACACATCTCTGGAACAAATTTTCGACATTTCCATAGAACCGTCCCACATACTCGGCAATATGATAGTTCAGGCAAATCTCATCCCAGCCGGGTCTCGCAAGTTCTGTATTGATACTGTTGAAACCAGCCTCGTGAAATCTGTACGCAGCAAATGTGTAGGTACTTTATCAGAAACACTGATTAAAACTCCACCTCCTTTTATTCTACCACTAGTCACAGGACATTGCGATCACGCCGGTATACACTATAGTTTGTTGAGAATAACTCAGAGCTAGATATCTCTTGTTTCAGCCATGTTTCGGTAAGGCAGATCACGTCATAATCACAGGAACTGAAAGATTTGAAAACTTGTTCAGTCTTAGTCCTCAGGCCTCTTGTGTTTTGGTAGTAGGTACTATAACGCTATCAAGATTAAATATACCTAGTAGGGGTCACACATCTTGATGAAGAGAAGATATATGAGATCAGGAGGATAGCTTATCAATAACGTTTTATTTTTAACGTAGATGGCTGTCTTTTACCCAGCAAAACTAATTGCCTTTGAGGCTACCGAATTCTCTGGATTTCCTGAATAATGCCTCGTAATGAGATGACAAATGCTCATTAACATGAACTGGAAATTCGTTGTTAGATAGCTGAATCTTTTTATTCTTTCCTCTTCGGATAGCATGCATATAGTCAGCTTTCTTCGCTCCTGTAGTAAATTTCACAACAATATTCTCGGGTATCTTGAGGTTGGAATTGTTTGAAAATTGTCTAACTCTATGAATATTGTCAATGTCTTGGCTACGAAAGTCGTAACCAATGACGTTACTGATATTTTGCACCACATTTATCAAGTTCTCTCCATTCCTTTCGACTACTCCAAATATCTCAATATTATTGTTTCGACTAAGTTGTTGCATATATTCAAGTTCAGCCTTAAGTGATGTGCATTCGTTCTCAACGACAGCAAATTCCCCTTTGTGGTTATCAATCTGGTGTAGGTATTTACGAACATCTTTCATCTGCTTGTGGAAATCATCTAATTTATCTCCATAAAAATTCAAGGATTTGAAAACTTCATCCTGCTGCTTCTTCATATCGTTCATACCCTATCAGTTGTTATCGCTTGTGGTTGACTTATACACTGTTTACAAAGCCATAGGAAACCAGAATCAGCTGGGAGGTCATTGAACCCAGGAGGTAGCTTTGCACATTTCGAGTGATAATATTTGCTGCAACAACCTTGATATTCGAGGCCTGGATTAATTAGTACGGCTCACCTGAGAGCTGCAAAAACCACACATTTCGGGCATGCTCAAAATAATTTCATCGACTTTTTGTTAAAGTATGGGTTTAGGTAGGTAGAAAGTATTTGAGTTTGATTTGCAATCGGAAATCAGCTTCAAAATGCACACTATTTCACAGTACAGTTCGGATCAATAGATAGATCAGATTATTCAGATCATTTTGATACCAAACTTTGTTTAATTTTCATTGTTCAACTCACTGGTATGGTGTATTATTTACGGAGGTGAAAGTTAAATCGACTGCACGCTCTCACAACCTGATAGAGTTGACAAAATTATATTTCAGTGTCTAACTGTTATTTGGCGATAATTCTTTGACAAGCACTTTCTGAAAACGATGATTGTTCCATGATAAATCTAACAATACTGATTCATTCGCAATTGGATTATTACAGAAGAAGAAAAAGAGGAATAATTATCTATTTGCTGTTGTCGATTTTGCTATGGATAGCCATGAACAATCATATTTTGAAGTTATTTCCATCAACTCTTCTATGAATAACAAGACAGTGGAAATTCCTCAATCTCATGCAATATCGAAAGTGTCTTTGGAGGAAGGAAGCAAAACAATTTCTCATTCCGACCATGAAATGGAGAATATGTGACAACTTTCCTCTTCACATAGCATTTATCGATACTATATTTAATTCTGATACACCTATAGTGGTCTACAAGTTATGACCGGCTTCGAAAAATCATCACAATAGTCAAAGGCAGATAATGTACAACGTCTCTTGGAATTGAACTTTCTAGCCAACACTTCTGTGACCTGACATCTTCGAGATGTCGCATTCAGGTAACAGTGCGATATCACAAACGTTGAATTGCTGCGATTTTCATGAGCAGATACATCTGCGACATGAAATTATCAGTATATCTTGAAGGATAGTGGGTTGTGGATATAAATTCCTCTAATGAGATCCTTCTGAACCTGATGTGGAGGCTTAATATAATGAAGTTTGTAATAAAAATTTCAGAATCCAAAGGGGCACGAAGGAATAAAACACTATGACTGGCTCAGTTGGTGGTGTGGTGTGAATGAGAGTAGAGGGTTCAATGTATACTAACTTCAATACAACAAATGAATATGCACTTTTCATGTGAATGAAGTAACGATTTTGGCCCCCTTTTGATGTGTTCCGAGCAGGTGGCTCAAGCAGATCGATTGAGAATATTATGTAACACAGTATTATATTCTTGGTGATAATTTTAGTTCACGTAGGACTTCCAACTGATTACTGGAAAAAATTGCCTATTCATTGAGAATTCCTTGATTGATTTTATACTTCCAGAAGATTGATGGTATAATTCCAGTAGATTTCCCAATAACCAGGTGGTAGTATTCAAGAATGAACTGTTAGACACTCACCAGAGAGCTGGTTCATATTTTATATCACGTTCCTACTTCACTTCAACCTTCTATGGTTTATACTGCAGGCAAGCAGACAGCAGCAAATTAGTCGAGCTCCTTGTCTGACAACCATGGAATCAAACATACAGAGGACAAAACTTTCGGCCCAATTTGTTAGCGTTCACTACCCTACAGGAGGGGGCTGTGAGACAACAAGCATAAATAATTGGAACGTAGACAATGCGAAAACAAACAAAGAAAACAGAAAAACCAAGTAAACCTATCAGATCGACCTTAAACTGAGAGAAACATCCGTGAATCTTTCGGTATCTTGGGGTGTTGAGAGACATTCCCTTTCGAAAAGTTTAAGAAATATTACATACCTTCGATGGTGTGTGGGCCACACGTGGTGATAAAAATGGTCGGCGAACGAAGACACAATGATCTTCTCTCGATATTTCTTGAACTCCAAGTCCAGAATGAACTGGATGGAGCCTCTTTCAATCCCACCTCTGGTGTCAATCTAATGAACAGAATAA